CTGTTTTACTAATACTATTTCGGCCAACCGCATTTGCATCGGCACCGATGACCCATATACACATTCTTTCATCGTTACATTCTTGAATATTTCTCTCGGTCTTTTTTTTTTCTTCCTTTTTTTCATTTCGCGGCACGACTTCGGACGCTCGCACTGCCGGCCGCAGTCCTCCTCTCCGGCCGGCTTCTGCCTAACGTTAAATCGTGTTTCGCTCATCGTTTGCGCGTGCCTCTTCTAACCTCTTTCTCTGCGCGTAATACACTCTACTCAGTTCGCTAGCTGACTCGCTCGCACGCTCGGTCGCTCGTTCGCTCGCTCGCTCGCACGCACGCTCGGTCGGTCGCTCGGAGTCGTTAGCTCATTTTCCTCGCTCTCGTACGGCCGCTCGTCCGTTCCTCGCGTGGTGCGGCGCATTCAGAACGTGCACGGGGCTCGATGCGGCTTCCTTCTGTAAAAACGAGGATCGCGACCAGGTCTTACGGCCACGACTACGACACTGAGGAAGGGTCGGACGTGATAGCATTGTCTCAGTGAGTGAGAGAGAGGGAGAGTGACGGATTTTTGTGCCGGATTCATTGGCCGAGACCCGGACAATGCCAGGAACTCTTGTGTCTCCGTTCACGGAGTTTGTGCGAAGCGCGCGCGTACACGTGCTCCGGACACGGGTCTGCTAACTGAAGATCCTCGGGCTCACGGGAATCCTGGATACACTTTGTTCGCTCGACATTGGGATCGTTATACTTTGACCTAGGAAGCCTGTGGCTGTCTTGTTGTGCGGATTTTCTTTGACGGTTGCCTTACTTTTTTTCTTTTTTTTTTTTTTTTTCTTGCGTTTTCGACACTTATCGATTCCGACGAATTATTTGCCGACTGTTCGTAGTTTTCTGTGCTGTTATTTACCTTGACTATCGGTGCTCACGGTGATATGGATTTATGTTTTGCGGAACTTTGAGTGACTGGTTAAAAAATTTGTTTCTTTTGTGAATCATCGATTTCTGTACTCTGGAAATAGCGGCTCTTCTGGAATTTTCTGCGCTGCAATTTTTTGTTCTTTCGATCGGTACGTTTTTTTTTTTTTTCTTCTTTTTTATTACGTTCTGCACGTTACTTCGACGTTACGCACTGCTGTGCGTGTATGTTGGGTTTATATTTGGATCAAGCGATTTTCTATCCGGCGATAAGATTGTCAGATTTCATTTTGCTCCGTTTTTTTTGTATAATCAAAATTATAGAATTTTACGATTTTTTTTGTTTTCGGTTGAACCTACTTTGTTTGCACGGTGATTATTTAATTTTTTGTTTATCCCTTGAAATTTTAAAAGTGCAACAAAAACTCTTCGCCTTACGACAGTTCTTTGACGCTTTATTATCCCCTCGAAATTTACCGCTACTGTTCCGCAATGCAGGCCCCCAATCTTTCTCTGGGACTATTTACGATCGGCATTCCGATTGATATCGCGATCACGTACATAGGGGAACCATATACGTCGACACGAATGGCATACGTTAAAGACACACGTTTGAAAATACGTAGACTGCAAACTTTGCAGCTTCACCGTACTGTCTGTCGATTTTGATCTCGATGGAGTAAGAGATAAAAATTTTTTTTTAAAATTGATATTGAATTTTGAAAAATAATATTTTTCATATCTTCGCGCGACCTCACCGGTACGTGGCTTGGCCCATGGGGAAAAGTGTCAGTGACCTCGATACGTCGCTCGGATCTTGATAGAATCCCAAGATCGTTTACCCAGATCCCTTGATTCATTATCATGTAATTTTCATGCCCTTGCCTGTGTCGTCCGCAAGTTGTCTGACAATTGGATACGTTTCTGTGCAGCTGGAGGAGCAGTTGGGTACGGGCGCGATCAAGAAGGGAGATCCCTACTGGAAGGTGGTGGCAGTGACAGGGGTGGCGAAGGTCACGGGTGTGGGCTTAGGGGTGGCATCATGGACTCTCATCAGCAACAGTTCTGCCTCAAGTGGAACAGCTTCGGTAGCAACTTGGCCACCGCTTTTTCGAACCTCTTCAAGAGCGAGAGTCTAACCGATGTCACCCTTTTTTGTGAGGGTAAGTTCAAAGCAATCGATATATAATTTGAGCGAGAGTCTAACCGATGTCACCCTTTTTTGTGAGGGTAAGTTCAAAGCAATCGATATATAATTTTTCAAAGTTTTTTCCGTGCTGATAATTTATTTGAAAAAAAAAAAAAAAAATCACACGTACGAACGTTCTCGATAATCGTCTTGCACGTGGTCGCCCACGTACGTGCATCGTACGAATCGAAATTCGCTTCGTGGAAGTCACGTGACTCTTTTTTTCAAAATCTCCGTGCAATTACCAGAAGCATAATCAGATTGCGTATTATTTTGAGATCGTAAAAAATTTTTGTTTACCACTCGTATCTAGTCGGTCGAATCATTAAATTCACAGTTCTACGGCTTTGTTTACGTGACAGCAGGGCTGTCAAATGTTCCGGGCAATGTAAATTTTCTTTAAAATTTCATACGTTTCGGTCAATGCGTTATCGTTACGCAAAAGTGCATATAACCGCGCTTATACCATGTGCGCAAAGCAGTGCGGCAGTCTGACCAAGTCCGCCACGACTACTTGGAGCGGCTTGGTACTGCTGCCTACGGGCTGGCAAAATATTCGCCGTCCGACCATCCACTTACCCTAATCACTGCCCGGCCAAGGGTACAGCTCCACCACTCGAAATTTAACGTCTGACCTGCACGTCCTTTATCCACTGCCACGCGAGTGCATTCCCTCCGATCGCATCAGCCGCTCGACACGAGACTTACCCCTACCCTGTTACGGTCTGATCGTGAATATCCTCGCACTACTCGCACGTGTCGCCGTCTTCTTGCACGCGAATCTCCACTACTTGGCACTGATTCACTTGTGTTGGTGCATCCGAGGAATGCACTCGCGATTGGCTGTCCCCTACTTCCCTTCTCGACCACGTGGCCGTCCGCGCACACACAGCTTGCGCATAGTCACCACCTCGCACGTGAATCTTAGCGACTTGCACACGTTGCACTTTCGCCTATGTGCGCTGTACGTGTTTCGCGAAAAGTGCAACCGGCGAGAGCCGTGCCAGCCGGCCGGAATACCAGTGCGACTCGAGCGCTCGCGCGATGCACTTGGTCCGTGCACTTTCCCGGATGCACCGCTCGAGTCCTTTCGGGACGAAATTTTTTTTCGTATTAATTTCGCTCAACCATTCGCGAAATGCTTCTCGTGTCGTTTAGGATGCACTTTGAGTGCATCGAGAAAAAAAAGTGCACTCAATATTTTTTTTTCCCGAAATTTTTTTCCCCCTCAGGCGCATCGCCAGGTGCGACGGCTGTGCTTGACTTTGGTGTTTATTTCGAGAGTGACGTGAATTATCTCAAGTGTCGGTTAAATTTGCGTTCCGGTGATTTCGCAAGAAACGATTTTCGCTGGTGGCATTTATAATACCCACGTTCCGACTTATTGGCGATTAATCGTACGAGGCTGCAAGACCCGCCAATTTCTTGTTTTTCCTCGTTCCTGTCAATAGAGCTACGAGCCTTATCAGACGTACGAGATAACGGTACTATGCTGACATGTGTCTGTTAGATAAGTGCGCTTTGTTTATCAGACTGAATTAAGCAAAAGAGGATGTGCAATTTTCGAGAACCTTTGCAGAGTCGCCACTCGGTCGCATAACTGGTTGATGGAGACTGGCAATTTTATGTAGGTATATATATATATATATATATATATTTTTTTATCGATCAACCAGTGATCGATAATATCGATTCCTACTATGAATAACGTGATCGGACGAATTAATAAATTTTTTTCTTGTCGCAGCGTCCGTTTATTTTTTTTTTCACTCTCCACTTTACGTGCATCGGACTGTTTCGGTACGCCATTGAAATTCGCGATTCGTTCCAATCAGCTTCGATTGTTCCTATCGATACCTTCGATTATCGAAAATCCGTAGTACACAAACACCCGTAACATTTCACACTCCTCTCGGAGCAGCCAATTAAAAGACACGGCTGATCCTTTCAGCACTTTCACCTACGGCATTGCATGAATCTTCTAGCATCGCCCCGCTTACCCGTGTTAACCTAACCTACCACGTAATCGCACAAACGTGATCCTTGTCAAAAGTGACGTCAAAGTTCGCAACGTGATCATCGACAACCGTGCCGAAAGAAAAAAATCACTGATCTGAAAGTCTGCTTTTGATTTTACCACCAAGCCGCCATTGAACATCGCCCATGCTGTGTTGAGCGAATAAAAAAGATTTTACCCTAAAAAGAATTAATACCTCAAAAAATTCACCATGCAAATTCATATCGCCTACGCCTATGCTCTGCCGTCTCGTTTAACGTCATAAGATTCCCGTGCGATCTTGCGCAATATCCCTGTCGATCGCAAACGATATTCCCGTCTGCGTTCGACATAGCCAAGTCGCTGCGTTAAATCTCTCATGGCGAGTCTCGATTCACGGCAGAGAAAGATTGAGCAACTATGCACGAGTCCCGCGGAGCGGCTATAGCAACGGCGTAAGTAGGTCTGGGTTACAGTTAGACATAACAGTCGGTTTCGTGCGGAAGAAACGTTAGAAGGTTGTCAGCCGTCTTCGATGCACAATATCTTTGCCTATACACATACAGACACAGATATATATATATATAGTCGCACAAAACTATCTCCGCTATTCACGTATGAAACCCCCTGTACCCCCACGGGTACATGCCTTCAGTGCATAGAATCCAAAAAGGCTCTAATGACTTTTTGGTATGGCATATCTAATACGCTCGAGAGAATGGGCACTGACAGTGAGACAGAGAAGGACAGAGGGACACCCAGCGAGCGAGCGAGCGAGAGAGAGAGAAAGAGACCGTGCCACAAAATGGCATTGCTGCAAGTGGCACATGGACACGCTCCGTCGTTAGAAACTCGAATCAGCTCGCTGCCATAGCGGTGGTCATATTCGAAAGTGTGGGAGATGGAGAATGAGAGGGAGAGGGAGATGGAGAATGAGATTGAGAGGGAGAGAGGGGGTAGAGAGAGAGAGAGAGAGACAGAGCGACAGAGAGAGACAGAGGAGAGAGAGTGAGAGAGAGAGAGAGAGAGAGAGAGAGAGAGGGAGCGAGAGAGAGAGAGAGAGAGAGAGAGCAAGAGAGGGTTCAGCAGTGTTAGGGAGGTAAGGGGACGATAGAAAAAATTCAGCATCGTTAGAGAACAAGAGACAGAGACATAGGACAGAGCCAGCCGTTCCAAAGGACGGGTTCTGTAGTCGCTCGGTAATCGCTCGGTTCTCCATTGTGTCCTTGCCTTGAGGAAATCTAACGCGAGACACGTCATCGGGTCTAACGAAACGCTTGCTGGGAGAATGGCGGTTCTGTTTGCGCCAAGTCGATTATGCACCGTGACTTTAGATAATTGCACGGGGTA